ACAGGGGTTTCCAGGGCCCGTAAGCTGACTGCTACGGGAAGCCCAGAAAAGATGTTACTAACCGGTTAAGATACCCAAAAATAACAAGAGGGTAGAGGATAGCACTGAAAACCCCTGCGACGTGTACAATCACGGGAGCCTAGCAGAGAGCCACCAAACACTACCAGTGGAACTATAGCCACACTAAGCAGACCCTCACCAGGCAAATGAAAATAAAAACAAAAGAAGACCCCCCAAAAGTACACCGTCTCTAGAGGCAACAGGAACCGGTCGCCGCTTAGGTGGCAGGTTGCGCAACACCTTGACGCCCTAATCAGCACAATACCAGTCCCTACCCAGGGCCAAACAAGGGCCCCAAGCCCCAGCTGGCCCCAAGGGTGAGGCAAATGCCGAGCAGCAAGAACCTCTACGGGAATGGTTCCCGAACGCCCCATGGAAGAGAACCCTGTCACACAGGGGCAGTACTCACTGGGCGCTTATGGAAGGAAGCCCCTAAGCGCATGCAGCCCCTAAGCGCATGCAGCCCCGGCACTGATGAGGTACTCCTGGCCACCGCACAACACAACACACGGCAGTGAACGCCACACAAGGCAAACACCGCCTAGGAAACTAAGGCCAGAGAAACGTCTATCCCGGTTGACATTAGCTTACAACCTGAAGCTAGGCAGGCCGGCGCGGTAGGTCTGGGGCTTCCCCCTCCCCCTCTTGGGGCGGGGAGGGCTGCTCGGACCATCCGAGCGGCAGTAAAGTGTGATGTTTGCTTGTTTCCTTGGGAATGTAGGAGTTTCTACCTCTCTGTTCGTTTTTTTGTTTTAGTTTTTTACCATGTGGGGTTTGTTTTGTTATGACTACCTTTCTGGGTGCCTAACCCCAGTCAATGGCAGATAAGGAAAACCCCAACCACAAGGGGGTTTTCCAGGGCCATTGCTCCCTGAAATTTCTCTGAAGGGGCCAGGTTCTGGCGGTGGTCCCTGGTAGGTCTGAACTCCTTAGCTAATTTCTCGGTCTAATATAACATACATTAGCCTGATAAGCTCCAGGGAGCCGTAGGGGCTCCCCACAGAAAATATACAAATAAAATAAAAAGAAATGCAAGAAGTTGACTTGCAAGCAAAGCGAACACTGCACCGACCAGACGAAGACGACTCCGGCACAAAAGTTGCACCAAAGGCCCACCTCGACAAGCAGAAGGCGAAGCCCTGGCAAGCCACAAATCAAAAGCCACAACCAAGAAGTGATGTCTGCAAGCTGAGAAGACCCCGGAACCCCAGAAGAGGCAAGCCACAAATACAGCCTGTTCTCCAAAGGTTTCCAATGTCAAGAAAACGATCAATTTAAAGTGTCCTCTCCTAACCAATTGGCAGATCAAAGCTGAAAATGGGACAGTATGTCACTATTGTGAGCTGTTTCCATTTTCTAGTACAGTCCGAAAATTTTTGGCTTTATGTAATGCATACGATGCAAAAATGAGTGAGAGGGGTGGGGCAAATGAGCGCACGCTTGTTTTAAGAAATTTGATCGTTTGTTTACTTTGCTGGGGAAGTGAATTCTGTGGGTTGCGAGGGTTCAGTTTCTTTTGAACCCAGCAGTGGTTTGTGTTGGTTTGCTAACTTTCTGGGTGCCTTCCCTGATGAGGTGAAGGAGTGTCACCTGCTCTCTGCACCTATTGTAAGGGGAAACAATTTCTGACTGGTTCCTGGTAAGCTGAAGTAAATTCGTGGCTGATGCAATCTAGTAGTTGGGAGCCACTTCAATGAGATAGTTTCAGGGACTCACAAGGGATTCTCCCCAGAAAAATTACTAACTTAAATTTTCTGAAATAGATGTTTTGTAGAAAAAAATGAAAATCACAAAACTTTGCTAAATTTAGTTTATATTGCAAGAATAAATAATACCTCAGTCTTTGATTATCCCTCTTAATAATAACAAAATAATTTGGCACACAAATGGTTTTGAAGTAAAGGTTACTCGGTAGAATACATACCAAGGTAAACCCAACCCTCAGCTCTACTCCCTTCTCAACACTTATTTAAACGATTCTTGTTTCAATGGCATGCCTACCATATATTTTATTAGTGCCCTGTTTAAATATTTATAGCCCAGAATAATTTTTTAAATAAATTTGTTTACAATTTTTACCCTAAAAGGTCAGTATTGCGCCCATAAATATCTGTGCTCTTGGTGGTCGCCCAGTCACCCTGATGGTAATACCAGGGTTGCACTTGGTATAGTTATAGAGAACACCCCTATTGACATTTACAGTTGGTAGACCTAGATGTGTTACCTAACTGCAGCAAACCTTGCTCAACATGCAGGGGTATTCAGACCTCTGCCTGAATACCAAGAGGTCTACAATATTAATTGGTACTGAACCATTTCAGTGGCACCTTGATTAACGAATTTAATCCGTTCTGACACCGAGCTCATCATGTGAAACGCTCGTCTTGCGAAACAACAACACTGTCGTCGGACGCGTCCGAGAACCAGTGAGAACGCTAGGAAGCACCATCTGGTTTGCTTGTTAATCGAGACAAATTTTCTGCAAGTGGCTCGCTCGTTACTCAAAATGCTTGTAACTGGAGTTGCTAGTCACTCGAGGTTCCACTGTATTTTAATTAGCTTAGTTAAAAAGTTTTCATAACTTGCTATGAGAAAAACACTTTCGTAGTGCCCACTAAACACTGCTAAGCTTTCTTCTGACATTGCCAGGGTACACATCTCTATAAGAAGTCTCTCCAACTCTAATTGATGGTCTGTAGAACATCAAACACAATTCAATCTAGCATGAAAATGACAAATATTTATTGATACTATCGCAGTTAATACAGGCCTGTAATTTTCAGATTTTGTCTTTTTAAGACAAGGAATAATGAATTTATTAAGATCCTCTTAGTTATTAACTGGATCACAATGCATGCACTTGTGTTATGCTCAGAGAGAGAGAGACACGCAAGCACACGTGTGTACCCAACTGCCTAGCTCTTGGAGAGGCTTTCAGTGCATCTCTAATTTCTGTAACGTTGCACATCTAAGGACGAGTGCAAGTGAATTTGCGCAGTGCTCTAGATAGTCTACAGGGCAAAGAAGCTAAGCATTCATGACCAGCCTGATTGGCTATCATAATGAACATTAGACAAAATTCATCATTGGCAATAATCATGAAACAAAATTTAGCTCTATTTGCTGTAACATATCCCAGATGTCCTGTGGCTTAAAGCACAGAGCGACCCGTGTTTGATGAACAAGTGTAGAGTACAATGTGCATTCTTCAATTTTTTTTTACACTTTTTAAAAGCTTAGCTATGCAATATTACTTCATTTATAAAAGTGACACAACTCATATATATGGACAGACAGCATCTGTTGTGATGTCTTTCCTAAAAGAACTTCTGAACCTCAAGGGGTCAATCATATGAAAAAATTTCCCAATTGAAAACATGTTTTGTTAAAAACCCTTAAAGAAGTACTTGCAACATGTGAGTTACAAAATTAAACCTGACGTGGCTACCACAAACATGACAGGAGTGAGAACTGTTCTCAGCAAGACCATACAAGTGAGACTCCAGAAGGCTACCACAAACATGACAGGAGTGAGAACTGTTCTCAGCAAGACCATACAAGTGAGACTCCAGAAGGCTACAACAAACATGACAGGAGTGAGAACTGTTCTCAGCAAGACCATACAAGTGAGACTCCAGAAGGCTACAACAAACATGACAGGAGTGAGAACTGTTCTCAGCAAGACCATACAAGTGAGACTCCAGAAGGCTACAACAAACATGACAGGGTTGAGAACTGTTCTCAGCAAGACCATACAAGTGAGACTCCAGAAGGCTACAACAAACATGACAGGAGTGAGAACTGTTCTCAGCAAGACCATACAAGTGAGACTCCAGAAGGCTACAACAAACATGACAGGAGTGAGAACTGTTCTCAGCAAGACCATACAAGTGAGACTCCAGAAGGCTACAACAAACATGACTGGAGTGAGAACTGTTCTCAGCAAGACCATACAAGTGAGACTCCAGAAGGCTACAACAAACATGACTGGAGTGAGAACTGTTCTCAGCAAGACCATACAAGTGAGACTCCAAAAGGCTACAACAAACATGACAGGAGTGAGAACTGTTCTCAGCAAGACCATACAAGTGAGACTCCAAAAGGCTACAACAAACATGACAGGAGTGAGAACTGTTCTCAGCAAGACCATACAAGTGAGACTCCAGAAGGCTACAACAAACATGACAGGAGTGAGAACTGTTCTCAGCAAGACCATACAAGTGAGACTCCAAAAGGCTACAACAAACATGACAGGAGTGAGAACTGTTCTCAGCAAGACCATACAAGTGAGACTCCAGAAGGCTACAACAAACATGACAGGAGTGAGAACTGTTCTCAGCAAGACCATACAAGTGAGACTCCAAAAGGCTACAACATGACAGGAGTGAGAACTGTTCTCAGCAAGACCATACAAGTGAGACTCCAGAAGGCTACAACAAACATGACAGGAGTGAGAACTGTTCTCAGCAAGACCATACAAGTGAGACTCCAGAAGGCTACAACAAACATGACTGGAGTGAGAACTGTTCTCAGCAAGACCATACAAGTGAGACTCCAGAAGGCTACAACAAACATGACAGGGTTGAGAACTATCCTCAGCAAGACCATACGAGACACCAGAAGGAAAAAAAACTGGAAAAGATGCAAGGCTACTGTCTGGGTGGAGACAAGTCTCTTTTTCACAATTCAACAAGTGTAAAGTTCTTCGTAAGTTCAGCCTTACCAGAAATGTACAAACCAAGGCAACTTACCTAACATATTGAGACTGATGCTCATCACTAATATTAACAATGCTCATTATATCTCTCAGCTTCACTAAAGAACTGGAATTTTAGTATTGTGGTTGATGGACGAGGGATTGGCAATCAAGTCTTAATTTTGTAATAATATCTTAAAAAAAAAATGTACATGTAGCGGTATTGGCTATGGAAACAATTTCATAAACTCTGGAATGTATTTACAGTAGTGTATGCTACCTAAGCAGCTTCCTGTTTTCACAGGTGTGGGAGGACGAAGGTGGGAAATAAGTGTTATATGGGCTCAAGTTGAGTGCAGCATTAAGCAAAGTTTTCAGTACTTTTGTTTATTGCACACAATGATGATACTTATGGTTACTGCACCACTGCAGGTTTACTTTGCAGCAAAACAATAATGGTACATTTGCCAACACATTATGACTGAATCAATATGTGTATAATGCTATGAATATAATGGAAATAACAAGTTACAAACAATGATAAAATCAAGAAATGTGGCCATATAAACAAGCTCATATTTATAATCAAGATTTTGATACAATGAAAAAAATGGAAAAGTGAAATCTAAGCAGGCGTGTGTGTTGCATTACTTGGTGAACATGGATGAGAAGTGTTCCTGACCAAGGTGAACAAGAGAACAGGGTCCAAAGATGTGAAGACTGCATAATTAGATGGGATCATCACCCACGGCAATTGGATCAGTCGATGCAGCAGAAAGGCTGTGGGATAAATACATGTTATCCATACCAACATTTTAAACATTTCAGGGGTCACAATACCTGTAGATATACCAAATAATTTACTTTAATACTGTACAGTGCCTCAGAATACAATATTCTTATAAATATGCCGAGAGGATAGCAAGCTTCTGCCATCCTGCAAGTTGCAAAGAGACCATGAATGGCCTCTACAAATAACTCTTGTGGTATTATCGTGAGAACATCTGGGAGTGATGAACCTTCATAACGTTAAGAACAATCTCTTCTTGTCATTCCTGCACACTAGGCACACATCCTGAGGGCAAAAATAATAATCTCTGAACAAATACTGTACATAAAAAATAAGTGGTTTTTGTTTTCAATGATGTTTATCTTAACCAGTTTTGTGAATTATTTACCTGTTGTATTTTCTTTACTGTATTTGTAGAGTATGGAATAGTCATTCACTATGACAGGCTAGTTACTCTTGTTTCAAAACATTTGGTACATGTTCTGTAACATCCATTCTGACATCTGGCCTACAGAACATAAGTTTGGGCTTGGTGACTATTGCTATATGCAAGCGAAGAAAAAGTCGCTCCATGCGGTGGATTTAAATCTGTCAGGAATACCTTGTTTTTGTTTAAGATGAACATTAAGATAAGCGTTATAATGATTAACCCTTCTATTGTGCATGTCAAACAGGAATGCCCCCCGTGCCATATCTGATTATAATGCACAAGTCAAATTTTGATGATTTAGAATGCTGCACAAGACTTGAAAGGCCTGTGAACAAAAAGGTGTGTACATAGGGTTCACATTTGCTTTCTCAGGCCTCCAGTAAACAGATACCATACTATCTTGGAAAAAAAATCATGGGCACCCCTCCTGGGGTGCGAGGGCCTCATTATTGAGAGGGCAGCCATGGTAAATACTGTACATATAAAATATTTGAAACATAACTAAAACTGCTGAATGACAAGTATGAGAGTTTGAGTCTGCAACATTAGTGTATGGGACTGTGTTTTGTGTGTGTAATTACCTAAGTGTAGTTACAGGTCTTCCCAGCACTCTTTGTCATATAACGCTTTGAAACTACTGACGGTCTTGGCCTCCACCACCTTCTCACTTAACTTGTTCCAACCGTCTACCACTCTATTTGCGAAGGTGAATTTTCTTATATTTCTTCGGCATCTGTGTTTAGCTAGTTTAAATCTATGACCTCTTGTTCTTGAAGTGCCAGGTCTCAGGAAATCTTCCCTGTCGATTTTATCAATTCCTGTTACTATTTTGTATGTAGTGATCATATCACCTCTTTTTCTTCCGTCTTCTAGTTTTGGCATGTTTAATGCTTCCAACCTCTCCTCGTAGCTCTTGCCCTTCAGTTCTGGGAGCCACTTCGTAGCATGTCTTTGCACCTTTTCCAGTTTGTTGATGTGCTTCTTAAGATATGGGCACCACACAACAACTGCATATTCTAGCTTTGGCCTAACAAAAGTCATGAACAATTTCTTTAGTATATCGCCATCCATGTATTTAAATGCAATTCTGAAGTTAGAAAGCATAGCATAGGCTCCTTGCACAATATTCTTTATGTGGTCCTCAGGTGATAGTTTTCTATCTAGAACCACCCCTAGATCTCTTTCTTTATCAGAATTCTTTAAAGATTTCTCACATAATATATAGGTTGTGTGGGGTCTATGTTCTCCTATTCCACATTCCATAACATGACATTTATTAACATTTAATTCCATTTGCCAAGTGGTGCTCCATATACTTATTTTGTCCAGGTCTTCTTGAAGGGCATGACAATCATCTAAATTTCTTATCCTTCCTATTATCTTAGCATCATCAGCAAACATGTTAATATAATTCTGTATACCAACTGGTAGATCATTTATGTAGACAATAAACATCACTGGTGCAAGAACTGAACCCTGTGGACCTCCACTTGTGACATTTCTCCATTCCGATACATTGCCTCTGATTACTGCCCTCATTTTTCTATGTCAGAAAATTTTTCATCCATGTTAGAAGCTTACCTGTCACCCCTCCAATATTTTCCAGTTTCCAGAACAACCTCTTATGTGGAACTCTGTCGAAAGCCTTCTTTAGGTCCAGATAGATGCAGTCAACCCAACCATCTCTTTCCTGTAATATCTCTGTGGCTCGATCATAGAAACTGAGTAAATTCGATACACAGGATCTTCCAGATCGAAAACCATACTGTCTGTCTGATATTATATCATTTCTCTCCAGGTGTTCTACCCATTTAGTTTTGATTAGTTTTTCCAATACTTTCACTATTACACTTGTCAATGATACAGGTCTATAATTGAGGGGGTCTTCCCTGCTGCCACTTTTGTAGATTGGAAATATGTTAGCCTGTTTCCACACATCTGCTACGATTCCTGTACACAGGGATGCCTGAAAGATCAGGTGAAGTGGAATGCTGAGCTCAGATGCACATTCTCTCAGAACCCATGGTGAAATGCCATCTGGGCCAGCTGCTTTGTCCTTACCGAGCTCCTTTAGCATATTTTCCACTTCATCTCTAGACACCTCTATCCGCTCTATGTTGTTCTCCGGAATTCTTATTGTGTCTGGTTCTCTGAAGATTTCATTTTGTACAAACACACTTTGGAAATTTTCATTTAATGTTTCACACATTTCCTTTTCATTTTCCGTGAATCTGTTTCCCATTTTCAACCTCTGGATATTATCCTTTACCTGCAATTTGTTGTTTATGAATTTGTAGAACAGGCCCGGTTCTGTTTTACATTTATCCGCTATCCCTTTTTCAAAATTTCTTTCTACCTCTCTCCTTACTGCCGTATAGTTGTTTCTCGCATCTTTGTATTGCTGGTATGTTTGGGGGTTTGGCCTCTTCCTATACTAATTCCATTTTTGTGTCTTTTGGTCTCTTGCCCTCTCACAATTTCTGTTGAACCAATCCTGTTTTCTGGCCCTGCATCTCTGTTTTGGTATAAATTTTTTTGTGCCTTTATCATATATTTCACAAAACTTGACATACAACTCATTCACTTCCTTGCCTAGCAACAAGTCTGTCCAATTATACTCACTAAAATTTTTTCTAAGGTTGCCATAACGTTGTTATTTTACTGTGCAGATTTGGGACCTGTCTCTCCAGTATTTTCCATGTGTATATTATTTGGTATCTCTCTCGTCTCCTTTCTAGCGAGTACATTTGGAGAGCTTTGAGACGATCCCAATAATTTAGGTGCTTTATCTCATCTATACGTGCCGTATAGTAAGTGAGTACTGAGCAGTACTCAAGACTGGACAACACAAGTGATTTGAAGAGTACAATCATTGTGATGGGATCTCTGGACTTGAAGGTTCTCATCATCCATCCTATCATTTTTCTGGCTGACGCAATACTTGCTTGGTTATGCTCCCTAAACGTTAGGTCGTCGGACATCATTATTCCCAAATCCTTGACATGCTGTTTTCCTACTATGGGCAGATTCGATTGTGTTTTGTACCCTGTATTATGTTTCAGATCCTCATTTTTGCAGTATCTGAGTACCTGGAATTTATTACCGTTAAACATCATGTTATTTTCTGCTACCCAATCAAAAACTTTGTTAATGTCTGTTTGTAGTTGTTCAATGTCTTCAGCAGAGGTAATTTTCATCCTGATTTTTGTATTATCTGCAAAGGATGACACGAAGCTGTGACTTGTATTTTTGTCTATATCTGATATGAGAATAAGGAACAGCAGTGGTGCAAGGACTGTACCTTGAGGTACAGAGCTTTTAACTGCGCTCAGACTCGATTGACTGTTACTCTTTGTGTTCTGTTCGACAAGAAATTGAGTATCCAGCATCCTACTTTACCAGCTATACACATTGACCTCATTTTGTGTGCAATCACTCCATGGTCACATTTGTCAAATGCCTTTGCAAAGTCTGTGTATAAAACATCTGCATTTTGTTTTTCTTCTAATGCCTCAGTGATTTTGTCAATGGTCAAGTAGCTGTGAGAGGCATGATCTTCCTGCTCTAAATCCATGTTGGCCTGGATTGTGGAGGTCATTGGTTTCCATGAATCTAGTGACCTAACTCCTGATCACTCTCTCAAATACTTTCTGAGACATGCAGTTTTCCTGTTTTATGCTTCCTGCCTCGCATGTTGTCAGGGGGTACTTGCCTCCTCTTTGGAATCGACCTGGGGCCTGGGTTTTATGGATCCGTCTTCTTTCAGGTTTGGGCCGTCGTTACCTTTCTGGGTCCGTTACGAGGTTCTGGAGTCGTCCTGGCTGGCGGACTGTCCTGTGTTTGCTTTGGTGGCTTGACATTCCTTCTGTCATTCCCACACGCTTGAGTGGCGCGAGGCTTTGACAGTGACTCAGGTTTTCCTGGGGATGGGGGGAACTTGAGCACCTCAATGAGTGCTTGTTTGCCCCAGCTCTTCCCCAGGATGTTGGCGTAATGCAGCTCCATGTGCAGGTTCCCTCCCTTTCAACTGCACAGGTTGCTGAGGACTTGCGTGCCCATGACCTCTTGGCTTCGGCCTTGCGTTTCTTTTCTCTCCTGGAGCTATCTTCGGACTGGCTTGCGGAAGATGTGGGGATGCTTGAGGCCGTTCCTTGGTCCAGTGCCTTGGGCTCGGCGGTTCGCTCGTCGACGGCCTTGTTGAAGCTCTTTGTGCTGATCCTCCGGGATGCGGTTTTCTTGTTTTATGCTTCCCACCTCGCATGTCGTCAGGCAGTACTTGCCTCCTCTCTGGAATCGGCCTGGGCCCTGGCTCTTAAGATGTCTTCTCCTTTTTGTCCTCAGCTTTTTACGGATTCTGCCGTGGTGTTGTATTTGCAGGCTGCCTTGGCTAGTTGTCATCCTATGTCTGACTTGTTGGTTCCCCGGGGGTACCAGGGGGGCTTCCCAGAGGGGTCTTGCCAGGGCTCGGTGTTCCTCTCGTTGTGGTAGGCCACTGGTGCCAGGTTTGGGTCCAGCCCCGCCTTCGGACCCACCCTTATCTGGTCGGCGTGGTGTTCGCACTGTGTGAGATTCGGAGTCTTGTAAGGGGCGCCGGCCCTTTCGCAGTTTGCCCCATTGATGGGGCGATGGGAGGGGGGGGGGAAGTTTGTGCTGTTCGCTTATGCCTGGTCCCATGATTTGTGGGTGTTTCGGGTCGTTTCTTTTGGCCTGCGGTGGCGTTGGGTGGCTTCTCCTCCTTCGGGGGGTTCGGGGCTTACAGGGCAGGCCTCTTCCCCTGTGATCTGTCGAATCGTCTTGGAGTGGGTGCGCTTGGGCATGGTCGAAACGACGTCGTCTCTCAGATGGGTCTCCCGTCTGTTCCCAGTAACGAAACAGGACAGTGCGGACCTGAGGTTCATTCTAGACTTGTCCCCATCTGAACCCCTAGGTTCATTGCCCCTCCTTTCGGATGATTACGCTGTCCCACATTCGGCTCCTGTTGGTGCCGAGCACTTGGATGGTGTCCCTGGACCTCCGGTACGCTTATTGGCATGTCCTGATTCATCCAGGGTTCAGGGACTGGCTCAGTTTTGTTGTGGGGCATCAGAGTTACCGTTTCCGTTGTCTCCCTTTCGGGTCGAGCCTGGCGCCTCGCGTGTTCACTCACTTTACCCGGATTGTTGTGGCCCGTGTACGTCTTCTAGGTGTTCGGATATTGGCCTACAACTGGCTGGTTTGGGCTCCCAGCCGGTCCTCTTGTCTGCTAGCCAGGGATTTGGTTCTTTCCCAACTTGCCGGGTTCGGGTTATTGGTGAACTGGAGGAAGTCCCATCTGGTTCCCGCCCAGGTTCGGACCTGGCTGGGTCTTGTGTGGGACTCTCAGACCGCTTCCTTGTCTCATCCTCCGGAGTCTCTCCTGCGGCAGCTGTCTCGCATGCGCTTGTTTCTGGGGGGCTCCCAGGTCACCCGGCTGTTGCGCAAGGGTCTGTGCTGGAGCCTGAACTTTGCGATGATGGTCTACCTGCTGGGTCGAGTTTGGCTTCGTCGGCTGTTTTGGTTCCTTCGGGGACGTCCCTTCTGCCTCTCTCACGATCGCTGGGTTCGGACCCTGTCGGCTGCTGCGTCGCCGGCTTCCTCTTCGGGTTTTCGGGGTTCAGTGCCTTGGTGCCTGACCGAGCCCTCGCTCGATGTGCTCACGGACGCGTCGTCTTTCGGCTGGGGGTTTATGACCAGTACTCACCAGGCCGGCCAGGGACGGTGCGGTCTGTCCTTCCGTTGGGCCCACAGCACAGTGCAGCAGTTTGCGGCAGTATGGTTTGCTCTCCGGAGGGTTCGAGTTGCCCGCGGATCAACGATCCGGCTCCATTCAGACTGCTCCCCAGTGGTTCATTGCCTGAATCGAGGGGATTTGATGCGGTCCTTGGCTCTTTGACACTGGTCGCTTCGTGTGACTCATCTGCTGAGTTCTCGAGGTTTGGCTCTCCTGGCAGTTCACGTGAGGGGAGTGTTCAACATCTTGGCAGACGGCCTGTCTCATTTCATTCCTCTGTCCACAGAATGGACGGTCGATGCAGACTCCTTCCTTTGGCTCTGCCAGGCATTCGGGCACCCAGAGGTGGCCCTCTTTGCGTCGGCATGGTCGCAGAGCCTTCTGCAGTATGTGGCGCCCGTCATACCGATGGGACATCAACCCCCCGACAGCCTCACAGTTGGGGTCGATGCCTTTCAGCAGGACTGATTGAGGTGGGGGTTCCTGTACCTTTCTCCTCCGGTTCCGCTGTTGCTCCAGGTCCTGACTTGCTTGGAGACTTACCTGGGAAGAGTAGTCCTCTTGGCCCCATGGTGGCCGGCCTAGCCGTGGTTTCAGGCTGCTTGGTGTTCGAACCTGGAAGTTTTCCCGCGGCTCTGACTCTTCCAGCAGATCGGACCTGAGCGTCACATGGCTAGTTTGATCTCCGAGTCTTTGCATATGGTGTTTTTGACTCGAGTTTATCATCATCTCTAAAGTGATCAGGTAGCTTCCTTGTTGGTGTACCACCTGCGGGCTTCATCTCGGCGGCAGTATGAAGTTTCCTGGTGGTCCTTCTGGCTCTTTTTGACTCATCATTGTGCTTCGCTTTTGGTTCGGGTGTTGTCCTTTCTCTCTCGGTTGTTCCAGGACCGTCATCTTATGCCGAATATTGTTGCCTCATATCGTGCGGCGCTGGTGGAGCCGCTGCAGCTTGCTTTCGGTATTGATGTTACTTCTGTGCTGTTTTGCAAGCTGTCTCGGGTGTTGTTTCACCTCCGGCCTGCTCATGCTCCGCCCGAGCCGTCCTGGTCTTTGGACAGAGTGCTCTCTTTTCTCTCTTCTCTTCAGTTCGTAGTGGCCCCTTCGGTTCAGGATTGTTTCTCTAAGGCTCTTTTCCTGTTGGCATTAGCCTCTGAGGGTCAGGTTGGTGAGCTTCATGCTCTCCTCCGGCGCAGGGGTTTCTGCTCTTTCGGTCATGGCGATCAGTTTGTTCGCCTACAGCCGTCTCCTCCTTTTCTGGCGAAGAATGAGACGGCTGCTTTCTAGAAAGGTCCTTGGGTTGTTGATGCTTGATTGGTCAGGCCGGGGGTGCATCATGTTTCGTGTCCAGTTGCGGCCCTTCGCCATTATTTGCACTCCATGGCTTCTGTGTATAGGGACGTGCTTTGGGTTGATCCAGTTTCCCTCCTTCCCTGTTCGCTGGTGCAGGTCTCCCAGGTCGTCCTCAGGGTTATGAAGGCTAGCCAGTCTGCGGTTTATTCCTGTGCCCATGATGTTTGCAAGTTTGCTGCTCTTGCTGCCATCTTTGGCAACATGTCCTGGGCGGACATTCGGGTGCGGGGTTTTTGGCAGTCGAACAGGGTCTTGGCTGCACGCTACCTCGTGAAAGTTCCTGGGCCTATTTGGGCCTATGTCACTTTGGGTCGGCGGTTGCAGCCAGTTGTCGCTACTTCCAGTTGAGGAGTGAGCAGCGAACACTTCCTGGGTAAGTCCCTCTACTTTTCCTCTGTGGGTAGTTGGCTCCGGGGAGCCAATGAGACTTCCTACAGAAAACCAGCGTTGAATTTAATGAAATGCCATTTTCTGGGTAGGACTTGGAGGCTCCCCGGCAACTCTCCTTTCCCCCGTTCGATGGTTTTCACGTGTTTTATGTCCACCTTCAGAACTGAAAGGTGGATGGCTGGCGCAGGGGTCTGGGGCTCCCCATTCCCCCTCCTGGGGAGGGGGGGCTAGCTGCGCAGACAGTGGTGCGGCGACATGTGACATTATGCTCATTTGCTCATTTCATTTTGGGGAGTTCCATCCACTTGTTTGGCTTTTTGTAGCAATTTTCACCAGAATAGGGGTTTGTTTTGGGAAGATTACCTTTCGGGGTTCTTGACCCGGTCGATGGCAAACATAGAATACTTCCAACCACACAGGGGGTTTCTATAGGCCATTGCTCCTCATGCCTCTCTGAGGGGGCCAGGTTCTGGCTCGTGGTCTCCAGTAGGCCCACAGAACTCCATACACATGACTGATGCCAAAGTCTGACATTAGCATATCAGCCTCGATAGCTCCGGGGAGCCTCCGGGTCCTCACCCTGAAATTGGCATTTTATTACATTCAACGCTGATTTTTCAGTGCTACTAGCATGTTTTGTTGTGTGTTGTAAATGGTGAAGGGGTGTGAGAACGTAAATGCTAAGAGAACAAAAATCTTAGCTCAATTGTCAAGACTGTGTTGTAAGACCAGGCCATATGAGTAAGTTAAGGATCATATATGTTATAGTTTTTTGAATGAAAAGTGAAATAGTTAGAGAATGTGTGTGTAGATATATGATATTTGTAACATAATTCACTATTTTCTTACCTGTTGGGAGTCTTCAGGTATGCAATCCTGGTGATAGACGTGGCGACACGCAAACACCACTAAGCCAGGCAGTTCTCCTCGACCTATTGATGACAATTAAAGCACATATAAATAGCTAATTAATGACAGAGCTTAGCCAGTATGGCTCTAGAGTACAACACAATACATGTAACAGCTTAAGCATTTCTGAGAGATCACTCAGGACACCGATGTGGAGGTAGGATTTACCAAAACTGAAGTGGTCACATTCACTGAAGATTTTATTAGGGAAAAATTTGATAAAAACCAAGTGGAACAATGCAACTTGGAGAGTAAGAAGCAAATCTCCTCTCCACTAAGTGCCCACGAGTTAACAGTGTGGCTGATACATAACTAGGCAATGACTTTTCTTATTTTGCTTATATGTGGAACGCCATAAGGATAGATCATATTTGAATGTTATCTTGAGGTTATCTTGAGATGATTTCGGGGCTTTAGTGTCCCCGCGGCCCAGTCCTCGACCAGGCCTCCACACCCAGGAAGCAGCCCGTAGCAGCTGCCTAACTACCAGGTACCTATTTACTGCTAGGTAACAGGGGCATCAGGGTGAAAGAAACATTTTGCCCACTTGCCTCCACCAGGGATCGAACCCGGAACCTCAGGACTATGAATCTAAAGTGCTGTCCACCCAGCTATCAGGCGTGGTGCATCACTTATTACTGGTTGTAACTAATACTATGAAATGATGGGATAAGCAATCCAAATTTTAAGGGATATGTTTCCAGGAGTTAGGGCATTAAATAAATCGAATGAGTGACACAGTTTATGGAGAAATTGATGGAACATGACACAAGCATACACTGTGAATATTCATAAAGAGAGACTCTTACAAGTGTGTATTTCTTATAGTAAAAGACTGCAAAATGGAACACACAGGGTTCACAACAGTCACTATTCATTTAAATGCAAGACAATCGTGAATACAAACTGAAGGGTCCTCCCAAAACATCAAAGACATTACTGTCCATAGCAGTTCTGAAATATGGAAAACAAAGTTCAATACTGTATAAAAGTTAGATTGGAGAAGAATTATGCAAAACAACACTACGAAGGGTAGACGCTATCTTGAGGTTAACTTGAGATGATTTTGGGGCTTAGCATTCCCGCGGCCAAATCCTCGACCAAGCCTCCTTTTTGTTACACACCCCCAGGAAGCAGCCCGTAGCAGGTAACTCCCGGGAACAATTTACTACTTGGTGAGCAAGGGTATAATGGGTGAAAGAAACTGCCTATTTCTTTACACCTTCCCTGGGAATCGAACCCAGAACCTTAGGCCAATATGTGCCAGTTGCTAAGACAGAAGGTCAACTGGCCAATATGTGGCAGCTGCTAAAACATAAGGCCCACTGGCCAATATGTGGCAGCTGCTAAAACATAAGGCCCACTGGCCAATATGTGGCAGCTGCTAAAACATAAGGCCCACTGGCTAATATGTGGCAGCTGCTAAAACATAAGGCCCACTGGCCAATATGTGGCAGCTGCTAAAACATAAGGCCCACTGGCCAATATGTGGCAGCTGCTAAAACATAAGGCCCACTGGCCAATATGTGGCAGCTGCTAAAACATAAGGCCCACTGGCCAATATGTGGCAGCTGCTAAAACATAAGGCCCACTGGCCAATATGTGGCAGCTGCTAAAACATAAGGCCCACTGGCTAATATGTGGCAGCTGCTAAAACATAAGGCCCACTGGCTAATATGTGGCAGCTGCTAAAACATAAGGCCCACTGGCCAATATGTGGCAGCTGCTAAAACATAAGGCCCACTGGCTAATATGTGGCAGCTGCTAAAACATAAGGCCCACTGGCTAATATGTGGCAGCTGCTAAAACATAAGGCCCACTGGCCAATATGTGGCAGCTGCTAAAACATAAGGCCCACTGGCCAATATGTGGCAGCTGCTAAAACATAAGGCCCACTGGCTAATATGTGGCAGCTGCTAAAACATAAGGCCCACTGGCTAATATGTGGCAGCTGCTAAAACATAAGGCCCACTGGCTAATATGTGGCAGCTGCTAAAACATAAGGCCCACTGGCCAATATGTGGCAGCTGCTAAAACATAAGGCCCACTGGCCAATATGTGGCAGCTGCTAAAACATAAGGCCCACTGGCCAATATGTGGCAGCTGCTAAAACATAAGGCCCACTGGTCAATATGTGTGGCAGCTGCTACGACATAAGGCCCACTGGTCAATATGTGGCAGCTGCTATTTATACCCACTCATACATATCCCTAACCTACACTTGAAACAATCCAGCAATCCTATGTCTATAATATTATTCAGTAATTTATTCTATAAATCTACAATCCTGTTTCTAAACCAATAGTTACCCAGGTCATTTTGCAATCTAAACTTTACTAATTTATGTTCATTTTTTTAGTTCTATTTTGCACCAATATACATTTTAAACCTTATTAATATTCCATTTGTTATACCCTTTCACCAATTTGTATACTCGAGTCATAGCACTTCTTACTCTTAACACTTTCGTTCGTTCCTCCGTGAAGACGGAGTTGACATCCACAAATAACTCTGCGGATGTTTGTGGGGATGTAGGTGACGTCCAAAATTAAAATATTTGTTAAAATTCAAGTTTTTATCCAATCTTTATGGGACTGGTTTTAAAATGTGTGCCAACGTCTTCCCATTCTATTGCAAACTGAGGTGAAAAACTTGAAACGAGTAAATACATTTGTGAGCAGGTGTTGCGGGCGAGCCAATGGGTGCTTGCTCATGGGTAATGCTTGGCTAACTTTTGACTTTGCTGCTGGTGGGATGCTCCGGGCTTTTGGATCTTATATGCATATACTCCTGTAGGGACTTCTATTGTGAACATTTTGATACTAAAATGAACGACGTACAATGACAATTGAGGTGAGAAACTTGAAAAAAAGTAAATACATTTGTGAGCGGGTGTTGCGGGTGTGCCAATGGGTGCTTGTTCACAGATAACGCTTGGCCGACTTTTGGCTTTGCTGTGGGTGGGGCACACCGAGCGTTTGGACCTTATATGCATATACAGTGGTACCTTGGTTTACGAATGCCCTTGTTTATGAACTTTTCGGGTTACAAGCCCAATTTCTTCGAAAAATTTGAATCGGTTTATGAACTTTACCTCTGGATACGAGTTTGTTGATACATGTATGGCTGACCTAGGGCGTTGTGGCACGGTGATCGTGTCTCAGTTTACCAGTGCCTCCTGCCTGAATTCTTTGCAAGGATTTACAGTTTCTTTTCGGATTTTAGGCTATTTGAACATAAAAGTTATTATATATCTCTCCATGGGTCCCAAGTAAGCCAGTGGTAAGGTTCAAGGCAAGAAAACATATGTGAGAATGACCATGAGGAAAAACAAGAGATCTTTCATAAACATGAAAATGGTACATGTGTTGTTGAACTAGCTAGACAGTATAACAAATCTTCATGGGAGGAGGAGGAGGCAGTAGAGGATGTCCCTTCCTCATTAAGAAAATGTGTGAAGTATGGGAAGAACTGCAAAGTTTTGCTGAAAAGAATCACCCAGATAAAAGCTTTAGCAGGCCATTGCATTGATCTTACTATTGACAATGTGATGTCTCACTACAGACAAGTGTTACAAAGAAGGGAAAATAATCTACAAGAAAAACAATGAGAAAATCATGCAGTGAGCCAGAAGCAGGTCCTAGTGGTATGCAGGCAAAACATGCCAGTGTGTGTACCCCAGAGAGGTCATCACTGCCTGATGTTATAATGGAAGGGGGGGAGACTTCCCTTCCAAACAGTAACACCTCTCCTCCCCCCCCTTCCTCTTCCATATGCCAACAGGAGTCATCAGTAAAGGTCAGTAATAACTTGTACATATTTTTTTAGTGAAGATTTGGGTGAATTAGGTATAAACTTTATTTTGAAGTGAATTTTTTTGGGAGTCAGGAATGAATGAATTCATTTCCCATTATTTCTTATGGGGAAATTCTCTTCATTTTACAAATTTTTGGGTTATGAACCGTCTCCAGGAACGGATTAAATTTGTAAACCGAGGTGCCCCTGTATCCCTGTAGGGGAATTCTATTGCGAACAAATTGATACCAAAATGAAAGACATTGCACGAGAAATGAGGTGATAAAACTGAAAAGAGTATACACATTTCAGCTTTGCCGTGCACTCGCAGGTAGTTAGCTCTGGAAAGCCAAAGGGACTTCCCCCAGAAAACCAGCGTTGAATGTAATGAAACGCCATTTCCTGGGCAAGACCCAGAGGCTCCCCGGCATCCCTCCCTCCCTCCCCCTGGTTGGTGGTTTTTCACGTGTTTTGATGTCCAACCTCAGAACTGAAGGGTGGATGGCCGGCGCGGGGGTCTGGGGCTACCCCTTCCCCTCCCAGAGAGAGGGGGGGGGGAGATGTGCAGACAGTGGCGCGGCGACGTGTGACGTCATGCTCGTTTGCTCGTTTCTTTTTGGGGAGTTCTATCCACTTGTTCGGCATTTTGTAGCAATTTGCACCAGAATAGGGGTGCTTTGGGATGCTTACCTTTCTGGGTGCTTGACTCGGTCGATGGCAGACATAGAATGCTTCCAACCACACGGGAGTTTCTATAGGCCAGTGCTACGCTTGCCTCTCTGAGGGGGCCAGGTTCTGGCTCGTGGTCCCTGGTAGGCCCACAGAATTCCATACACACATGACTGATGCCAAAGTCTGACATTAGCATATCAGCCTGGATAGATCCAGGAAGCCGAAGGGGCTCCCCCTCAGAAAACCCTCAGTGTTGAATGTAATGAAAAGCCATTTTCTGAGGGAGCCTCGGAAGCTCCCTGGAACTATCTGACTTATATGTGCTATATTAGCCTGGGGCTTCAGTCACATGGAGTTCTGCCTACCGTGAACCACAAGCTAGAACCTGGCTCCCTCAGAGAGGCACATAGAGCAATGGCCTATGAAAACTCCACTCTTTGAGAGTATATTCATGTCTGCCATCGACTGGGGTTAGGCACCCCAGTCGATGGCATTAGGCACAGTATTCAGCTTAAGATGTCGGTCCTGAAACAACCATGAAAGAAAAACAAGACAACACGGACAGAAACAGAAGGCAACCTACGAAAAGAAAGGAAGTGGCAAAAGGAAAGCCAAGAAACTTCATACTGTCGCCAAAATGCCACCTGACCACCATACAACTGGTGATACACATGCATCAAAAATACCAGATGTGATGTCTGGAAGAGTAGATCGAATTGGCAAGGTACCTCACCTGCCAAATCTGCTGGAAGAGCCAGAGTTGCGAAAAATGCACTGGGTTCGGACACCGAGCAAGCAGTGAATGAAACCAAGGCTGGGCTGGCCACCATGGGGCCAGAAGAAGCCCTCCCCTAATAGGACTCCAGCCGAGTCGGAACCCGAAGCAACAGCTGGACCAGGGGAAGATGTACAGATACCCTCACCTCTACCAGTCCTGCTGAAAAGCGCTGACCGCAACCTCCGGCAAAGCCAACTGAAGAAGTTTGCATCGACCGTTCATTCTGTGGACAGGTATGAACCGAGACAGGCCATCCGCCAGGACTTTGGACACGCCTCTGATGTGAACCGCATAGAGAGCTAATCCCTGAGAGCTCAGAAGAAGAGCCACTCAAAGTGACCAGACCCAAAGAGCCAAAGACCAAAGAGACCCCCCCACATGGTTTTGGTAATGAACCACCGGGGCGCAGTCCGAATGGAGCAGCATTGTAGAGCCTCGAGCTAGCCGAATCCGTTGCATACCACCAGACAGCAGAACAACATCGTTAGGGACAGTACTGCTCAAAGGATGGAGCCAGAATCGATCAACCGCCACTCAGCACAACAGCCTCAGAACTGGGGTTGGGTTGCTGGTGCAGGGGTCTGGGTCTAGGCGAGGGGGGGGGGAGTTGCACAGACAGCGGTGCAGTGGCTGTGGTGATGTCACGCTTGTTTTCTCATTAGGGAGTTCTGCTTGCTCGTTTGGCTTTCGGTTTGCAATTTTTAACCAGCTGTAGTTTGTTTTTGGATTCTTACCTTTCTGGGTGCCTGACCTGGCAGATGGATAGAAGGCAGAAGACATAGACTGCTTCCCAACTACATTGGGGGTGTCTATAGGCCACTGCTCCTCGTGCCTCTCTGAGGGGGTTAGGTTCTGGCTCATGGTCCTCGGTAGGCTAGAACTCTATCGAATGACTGTTACCAGTGTCTAATATATGCACACATTAGCCCGGTATAGCTCTGGGGAGCCGAAGGGGCTCTTCACAGAAAACCAGATTGGGAAGGGAAGAGGCAATAATTATGTTCTAAAAACTGCATACAGCACACATTAATAAAATGTTCAAAATGAGTGCAGACACAATGGTTAGTTTCTAGGCAAAGTGCCCTTCTCACTTGATCTTGGAAATGACACTAATGTCCTGGGTTTACCTGTTGAGTACCTCCTGTTGGTTCTGGGGATCAATGTTCCCAAGGTCTGGTTTCAGAATGAATACCATCTGAGCCTGTTGCCATGGAGTGGTAAAGAACCAGAGCAGACTGAAGTTCGACAAGAGTGAGGAAATTAAATGAGTACCACAACAGCATGCTAAAGTTTATAGAGTGAGTGAGATTCAGCACATGATTTTTGGGTAAGTAGTGCATGAGGTAACAGAGAACTTGGGCTAATGGGTGAGAAGTGGGAACCCAACTCATTTGCAATTGACACAAGCTAGGCAATAACAAAGCAAAGGAGATGAGAGAGTAGTGACAAATGGGAAATATTCTTAGCAGCTACAGTAACCATATTTACTTACTAGGGTTCAGGACTCTCTTGTTGCATGCTGCACACTCCGTGTCACCTGTCGGGTAAGATACAACATCATGTAAGCAATAAGTAACAATATTAGCTAAGTGAATTATTATGATCAAGGATGAGCATTATACCACTTGGGCTTTGTAGGCATCATAGTTAGCTGGGAACTAGGCATCAACGTTTGGCAGGAAGTAAGATGTGGGTCAATCCAATGATACCAAGCAAATAAGTTACTAATAATATTGGTCAGAAATAGTTCTTAATACTACACACACGTATGTACAAAGGCTTATAAACAAAACATATAAATCTGAAAAGATCTTCAAGAGTAAACCTTGGGAATGACCCCATAATTGCTAGCTATGGGATGATTTTATACCTTAGCTCAGAAAATCACATTACCATATACAGGATGAGCAGCATTTTGTGCAGACACAAGCTTGGTGAGCAGGTTGCTGCTGTCCGACACCAAAATCCTCTGGCAGCCTGTTCTCAGTTCTATCTGCAAAATCAAAAAAAAAAAAAAATAACAAAATACAAATTAATTCATTGATTTTAAGTTCTTAGTAGAGTACTGACATTCAACATTATCGTGCCCGGAGCGTGCGGCACACAGACTTCGACGTCATGCTCCCGGCAGTGCGGGTGAGCATGCGGTTTTTCGTGTGTTTTGACATCCAGCCTCAGAACTGGGGTGTGGATTGCCGACGCAGGAGGTCTGGGACTCCCCTTCCCCCTCCCAGGGAGGGGGGAGCTGCGCAGACGGCGGTGCGGCAATGAGTGACATCATACTAGTTTGCTAATTTTGTTTGGGGAATTCTATCCACTCATTCGGCTATTGGTTGCAATTTTCAACAGAATAGGGGGTTTGTTTTGGGATGTTTACCTTTCTGGTTACCTAACCTGGTCGATGGCAAACATAGAATCCACACGGGGGATTCTATAGGCCATTGCTCCCCTTGCCTCTCTAGATGGGGCCAGGTTCTGGCTCGTGGTCCCCGGTAGGCCCATAGAACTCCATACACATGACTGATGCCGAAGTCTGACATTAGCATATCAGCCTAGTAAGCTCCGGGGCTCACCCAGAAAATGGTGTTTCATTACATTCAATGCTATTTTTTTGGTCCAAATTTTAAAATATTTGTTAAAATTCTGTTTACTGTGCTATTATTATGGAACTACTGTAGTTTTAAAATGCGTGCCTTTAGATTGCGAACAATTTGATACTAAAATGAAAGCTGTAACATGAAAATTGATGTCAGAACACTGGAAAGATATAAATAATTTTGTGATGATGAGAGTCCAAAATTTAAAATATTTGTTAAAATTTCATTTATTGCTCTATTATTATGGGACTAGTTTTAAAATACGCGCCTTTATATTGCGAACAATTTAATACCAAAATGAGAGACGTAACACGAAAATTGATGTTATGAAACTGAATGAATATACACATTAGGTTGCGGTGTACCAATTGGTACTCGTTCACGGGTAACTTTAGGCTTTGCTGCGGGGAGTCACGCCAGGCTTTTGAACATTATATGCATATACACCTGTTGGCAATTCTATTGCGAACACAATGATACCAAAACGAATGACGTAGCACGAGAATTAAGGTGAGAAAACTGAAACAAGTATACACATTTCGGTGTTGCCGAAATGGAATAAGGATTGCAACCTGGAGTTCTACTGAACCGACAAGGGTTTCCAGAAGATTCTCTCAGTGATGCAGTCACGTTAGTATGATTACTCTCTGTGAATTGAAAGAGGAGCATCAGAGGTAGAACAAGTCCTAGATGACAGAGCCAGAGTGCATGGAGGGATTGTGTGAAAATCCTGTTCTGGCCTCAGTAGAAGCCTCAGGAATCCCTTGTGGGTTAAGTAGAACTCCAGGTTGCAATTCTTATACCATGCCGTGGTCTAGTCCTTAGAGCATGTGCGTGGGAACACCCACTGTATAGGTTAGAACCCTCATCGTGTCTCCTACAGATTTTCTCGTTGTTGCAGTCACGTCGGTGTGATTACTCTGTGTATTTATGAAAATTCCACGGTACATACTGCACATGATAAAAATATTACAAAAGTAAAACTGTGAACATGAAAGTATTAATGAAAAGTTATTACAAATAATGTAAATAGAGAATATTTTAAATTCAAAATAATAATCTGCTAAGTAATTTAGTTGTAATTGATTTGCTTATTTGGAAGACATTAAGATCACCTAGCAAACACATATTACAATATTTATAACCCAGAGTTTACCGACAACCAAATGCTTACTAGTTCACACGTTAACCTGCCTGCGATTTAGAGAGTTATTTTCACAACCCACAGCACTGCTTCCCTGACACTTTCTTGGCCTGGGACAGTTTACTAGGTCTTGTTTATGCACCCTATATAAACCTATCAATGTTTGGTTTACCACCAACTTCAAAGCCAATGTGTACCATATTTGGCATTCAATAACAAACCTGCAAATGATAGTCATGAAGAATTTTAACCAGAGCATCTCTAAGCCCAGGAATCTCCATACCCTTCGGAATCTGATTAATGATCAGCAAGGGGTCGATGTGGGTGCCAATGTTCAGGAGCAATTCACGCACACAATCTGCAATAACGAGAATTAAAACATCAGTGGAAAACAAGGTTTTCATAGGTCATAGGTGCCTCCACCACAGAAGATTGGTAAAGGCAACTTTGGTTTTTTTAACCAATACCGGAAGTGTACTACAATTTTCCTTGAATTTTAGGAGACTAAGAACCATTTCCAACCGCAGCATATTTTCAAGACTAACCCGAGTATTTTGACCTCGAACACTAGAAGTAATAAATTTAGGTGCAGATCTCCAGACAGATTATTAGAACTTTGCCCCGAGTGTTCCACCCTTCCAAGGATTCACACTTCTTGCCTGTGAGTCAACTGCGTTTCCGCTACACAATGCACACACTCACTTCATGCAGGTTGGCGTTCAATCCCCGACTATCCAAGTGGTTGGGAACCATTCCTTTCCCCACCGTCCCATCCTAATTCCTTATTCTGATCCCTTCCAAGTGCTATATAGTCGTAATGCCTTGGCACTTTCTTCTGATAAGTCCCTTCCCCTACACCATGCACTCAAAACTACCAGGGATACAAATAACACTTACTTAAGATTATCACAATAAATCATACAATGGTCTAGTTGGATGACATCATCAATGTCATCCTGATAACAATAGTATCTTAATTTCATCTATTTCAGTTAATTTTGGGCAATCCTTCTACCAACCTAAATATTATTATAATTTTATTGAAATTAATACACCCAAAACTGTTTGTGACAAGTTAGAAGAGAAAAATATTAAGGTAATATAATGGAACCGAGTTCTCATCCCTGGACTTCCCAAAAACACACACACGACCCACTCAATCATGAAGAACTCAAAAGTATAGCAGCCTTAGTAATTTTATAATATATTTCCCCCACTAACATGGAGAACATTAAAATATTTGTAACTCTATAGTACACTAATGCTTGCTATCTTTCTATTAAAACACTGTAATTCTAATACCCATACATACCTTCCTTTCAATCAACAACTGTTACCAAGTGTCTCACCTGGTTTATCCAAGGCATAGTTGATAAGGCGGCTCCAGAGATCGACATCATCGTGCTCCTTGCAGAATCTAATAGCCCACTCCAGGTCCTGTTCCTCCACCAAAATGATATGCAGAGCCTCCATTGTGTTGCCCATCCGAGCTGGAAGGTAAGAAGCTTTCTTATGAGCAAAAACTAGTCCAAGAAAATCAAACTTTCATATTACTTTTAACACTTTCGCGCACCCAGCGCGCCACCCCTCAACTATGCGTAGTGGGTCCCAGCGTTTCATGGGAGCGCGTGTTAATTCTGAAAAGTGTATACTCTCTTCAACTTTGTCACCTCAATTCTCGTCCTATGAGATTAAATTTGGTATCATTGTGTTCGCAATAGAATTCTCTACAGCACTAAATGCATATAAACTCCAAAAGCCCGGCTAATTACCCGCAGCAAACAGAGAAAGTGCGAACGAGTTACCCAGGAGCGCGCAAAAGCGATAAAATGTGTTCACTCTTTTCACTCTGGTCACCTCAATTTTCGTCCTAGGTCTTTCATTTTGGTATCAATGGGTTCGAAATAGAATTCTCTAGAGGAATATTAGCATATAAAATAAAAAACCTGGTCACGCTCCAACCGCCGACGAGTTGAAGACGGGCCACGTGTTAGCCGCGAGTGAGCACCCAGACGCCTTCCAGCTACACTCCCAATTCCTGCCCACAAATGTTTATTATTTTTACCGGTTGCTAATCTCAATTTTCGTGTTACAACGCTCATTTAGGTATGAAATTGTTCCCAATAGAATGCTTTAGATGGATATGTGCATATAAGGGTTACTTGAACAATATTGCCAGTACAATACGTGAATGAAAAAAAAAAAAAAAACAGCGTTGAATGTAATGAAACGCCATTTTCTGGGTGAGCCCTGGAGGCTCCCTGGAGCTTATCGGGTTAATGTATGTTATGTTAGACCGGGATATTAGCTATGGAGTTCAGACCTACCAGGGACCAGCGCCAGAACCTGGCCCTTTCAGAGAGGTTTCAGGGAGCAATGGCCCTGGAAAACCACATATGGTTGGGGGTTTTCCTTATCTGCCATCGACCGAGGTCAGGCACCCAGAAAGGTAGGCATAACAAAAACCCCACTTGGTAAAAACTACAACAAAAACCGACCAGAGAAGTAGAAAACTCCCTACAATCCCAAAGAACAAACAATCAATCAATTTACTGCCGCGCCGGTCGTCTGCACAGGGGAGACGGGCCCCCTCCCCTTCTAGGGCCCCCCTCCCCCCAGGAGGGGGAGGGGGGCCCTGGACCTCACCGCGCCGGCTGCCTTCAGTTCGGAAACTAGGCTTCAACCAACGCAAAAAAAAAAACGCCGACTGGATGGGTGGGAGGGTAGCCAGGGAGCCTCCGGGGCTCACCCACAAAATGGCGTTTCATTACATTAAACGCTGGTTTTCTGTGGGGGAGCCCCTTCGGCTCCCTGGAGCTACATACCCAAAGAGAAGGAATTAGGGACTTACCCGGGAGGCGGCGGCCACAAACTCCTCAATGCGAAGTTGAGACAACTGGCTGCAACTTGCGACCCAAAGCAACACAAGAACGCCGAGGAGCAGGGACATTCACCAAATAACGGGCGGCCAGGACCCTATTCGACTTCCAAAATCCACGCGCCCAAATATGAGCCCAAGACATGTTACCAAACACGGCAGCCAAAGCTGCAAACTTCCGAACGTCATGGGCGCGAGGATAGACTGCAGGCTGGCTAGACTTAATAACCCTGCAGACAACCTGAGAGGCCCGAGCCCTGGAACAGGGAATGAGGGAAACCGGATCAACCCAAAGCGCATCCCCAGCCACCCCGGCTGAAGCGCGCAGGTAACGGCTAAGTGCTGCAACTGGACACAACACATGACGCACCCCCGGCCGAACCAACCAAGCATCAATGACCCACGGACCCCTCCGGAAAGCAGCCGTCTCGTTCTTCACCAGAAAAGATGGGGAAGGCTGCAAACTGACAAACCTACCCCCAGGACCAAAAGAGCAGAAACCCCTGCACCGGAGAAGAGCATGAAGCTCCCCTACCCGGCCCCCAGAGGACAATGCCAACAAAAACAAAGCCTTGGAAAAACAATCCAGAACCGAAGGTGCCACCACAAACCGAGGAGGGAAAAGATAGGAGAGCACCCTGTCCAAAGACCAGGACGGCTCAGGAGGAGCAAGAGCAGGCCGGAGGTGAAACATAGCACGGGAAAGCTTATGAAAAGGGGCTGATGTGACGTCCACCCCGAACGCTAGCTTGAGCGGCTCTGCCAGCGCCGCACGATATGAGGCGACAGCATTAGGCATCAAATGACGGTCCTGAAAAAGCCAACCTGATCCGAAAGAAGAGACAACCTACGAAGAGCCAGAAAATGGCAAAAAGAATGCCAGGAAACTTCATACTATTGCCGAGACGAAGCTCTCAGGTGGGACACCATCAACGAAGCCACCTGATCACCATAGAAATGGTGATACACCCGCGTCAAAAAGACCAGACGCGAAGAGCAGAGGAGAAGTTCGAATCAGCCCTATACTGGACCGGGCCGACCTCCTGAAAGAGGCAGAGCCGCGGGAAACATCCTGGGTTCGGGCACCGAGCAGGAGGGGAGGAGGAATGTTGGCGAGTAAGATGTTGGAGTGAGGGAGGGCTGGCTGGGTGTGGCTGCTCACACTCGCGGTGTTCTGAATGTGTTGATGGTGAATGTATATATAGTGTACATATGTTGTAAATATACATAAATGAACATGAAACATTGGTGTGAATAACTGTATGATGGGAGGAGCAATGTTGGCGAATACAATGTTGGAGGAGAGAGGGATGGCTGGATGAGTGTGACAACTCACACTCGCGGTGTTCTGAATGTGTTGATGGTGAATATATATAGTGTGTGACAGTGTATAGTCTGTAAACAGATTGTATATATACATAAATTAGCATGATACATGGTAAATATGTGCAACATATGTGTACGCAAGTGTCATGCACGTAACAGTGTCTTCGAACAGTACGGATGTTTTACTGCCATAATATAGTGTACGTGTTCATTATACATAGGATTAGCATGTAAAAACAAATAAAATGTATTTGGAACTGTGCACAAAAAAATGAACACAAATATATTCGCGGCAACTCGCGCGCCCCACCCCGGGCGCCCTACTGGCCCCTGGGAGCGTACGTCACGGGTGAACGGGGAATGGCGACATCACGCGCCAACTTACAGACCCCATAGCAGCCAGAGTAAGTCTAAGTTCAAATTTTTTTTGACATACCCATACTGAGGGAAGGGTTTTTGACACTTAAAAAAACAAAAGAATTTTTTCAAGAGAATTTATTTCCTGCGCACTGGGGGGTGTCATATTTATAGGCTGCGCAGTTAAAGGGTTAATTGTTCCTAGCTGATTATTAAGACGTCTGGCAAACATCCTCTGGATGTTTCCTGCCAGCCTGCAGGAACATCCTGCCAGCCTGCAGGAACATCCTGCCAGCCTGCAGGAACATCCTGCCAGCCTGCAGGAACATCCTGCCAGCCTGCAGGAACATCCTGCCAGCCTGCAGGAACATCCTGCCAGCCTGCAGGAACATCCTGCCAGCCTGCAGGAACATCCTGCCAGCCTGCAGGAACATCCTGCCAGCCTGCAGGAACATCCTGCCAGCCTGCAGGAACATCCTGCCAGCCTGCAGGAACATCCTGCCAGCCTGCAGGAACATCCTGCCAGCCTGCAGGAACATCCTGCCAGCCTGCAGGAACATTCTGCCAGCCTACAGGAACATCCTGCCAGCCAGCCTGCAGGAACATCCTGCCTGACAGCCAGCCTGCAGGAACATCCTGCCTGCCAGCCAGCCTGCAGGAACATCCTGCCTGCCAGCCAGCCTGCAGGAACATCCTGCCTGCCAGCCAGCCTGCAGGAACATCCTGCCTGCCAGCCAGCCTGCAGGAACATCCTGCCTGCCAGCCAGCCTGCAGGCACATCCTGCCTGCCAGCCAGCCTGCAGGCACATCCTGCCTGCCAGCCAGCCTGCAGGCACATCCTGCCTGCCAGCCAGCCTGCAGGAACATCCTGCCTGCCAGCCAGCCTGCAGGAACATCCTTCCTGCCAGCCAGCCTGCAGGAACATCCTGCCTGCCAGCCAGCCTGCAGGAACATCCTGCCTGCCAGCCAGCCTGCAGGAACATCCTGCCTGCCAGCCAGCCTGCAGGAACATCCTGCCTGCCTACAGGAACATCCTACCAGCCAGCCTGCAGGAACATCCTGCCAGCCAGCCTGCAGGAACATCCTGCCAGCCAGCCTGCAGGAACATCCTGCCAGCCAGCCTGCAGGAACATCCTGCCAGCCAGCCTGCAGGAACATCCTGCCAGCCAGCCTGCAGGAACATCCTGGCAGCCAGCCTGCAGGAACATCCTGCCAGCCAGCCAGCCAGCCAGCCAGCCTGTCAGCCAGCCTGCTATCCAGCCAGCCTGCTAGCCAGCCTGCTATCCAGCCAGCCTGCTATCCAGCCAGCCTGCTATCCAGCCAGCCTCACTCTCTGCCTGCCTGCCTCCCTCCCTGCCATCCTGCTAACGGGTCGAGTGTGTTAGGCTTATCTTCGGGAGTGAGCTGGTCACTCCCCCACCACCGACAACCCCTCCCCTACATCCCATACTCTCAAAGGTCACGCGGTTCAACTCAACATCCATCCCTCCCTCCCTCCCTGCCTGACAGCCTGCCAGCCTGCCTGCCTGCCTGCCTGCCTGCCTGCCTGCCTGCCTGCCTGCCTGCCTGCCTGCCTGCTTGCCAGCCAGCCTACCTGCCACCCTCTCTGCCAGCCTGCCTGCCAGCCTCCCTCTCTCTCTGCCAGTCTGCCTGCCAGTCTCCCTCCCTCTCTGCCAGCCTGCCTGCCAGCCTCCCTCCCTCTCTGCCTGCTAGCCTGCCATCCAGCCTCCCTCCCTCTCTGCCTGCTAGCCTGCCATCCAGCCTCCCTCCCTCTCTGCCTGCCATGCAGCCTGCCAGCCTGCCATCCAGCCTGTTTCCCTCTCTGCATGTCAGCCTGCCTGTCTCTGCCAGCCTGCCTGCCTGCCAGCCTGCCAAATATATACGATGATGTACATTAAAGAAACAAATCTGGGTCACAGGTCTGTCGAG